GGGAGGAAGTCAACCAAAGATATTATGTATGTATATGCATAACCCATGGACACAGACAGTAATGGGGTGAAGGCCTGGGGAGGGGATGAGAGTGGGGAAGAGGGGGTCAATGGAGAGAAAAAGGGGGACATCTGTAATACTTTCAACAATATACATTTAAAAAAGTAAAATAAAATCTGTAAAAACATCAAATAAGGATATTATAGATTCATTCTCCACTGTACTAAAAGCAAAACCAACCTTATTAATGGCACATGCCGTCTTCTCCCGGCTAGAGCCACTACTTGTCCTAATGATCTTGGAAAGATCTTCACGAGCAGCAAGTAAATGTGCCAATGTAATGGTTGTTTTGGGTGACAAAGCATAACGCTTAGGCTGATAAATTCTTGCTATGTCATCTGTTTTCACCTAAATGACAAAAGTTAGGGGAAAAGGGGAATCAAAGAACATTTCAATGAAAGAGCAATAGCAATCATAAATATCTGATAATTTATATGTCTAATGAAAAAATGTAAACAGATGCTGAAAGAACACATAACTACCATGATCAACTCATTAAAAACTAACACACAAAGAAAAATACCTAAAAATACCAAAGCCACATACAGGACCTTTCAGACAAAAAACAGTAAATCTAATGAAAACTTGAAAAAATTGGAGAGAAATACCAATTTTCTGGATGAGGACACTGAATATTATGTGTTTTCCCAAAAATTAATAATAGATTTACTGAAATCCTGTTAGAATGGTTTTTGAAAGGATAAGGAAAAAAAGGAATCTAAAGATAATCCAGAAACTAAATATTTAATGACAAAAACAATTTTGAAAGAGTTCTATCAGATATTAATATGCAATATGAAATTATCATTGTCTTAACTGCTCACATTCATTGAGTACTTATTAAATGCCAGGATACTATTCACTTAATAGTCATTTAATTCTCAAAATAGAATGATTGTATTTATTGCCCCCTTTTGTATCTGGAAAAAATGAGGCTTACAAAGCTTAAACAACTTCCCCAAAATACAGAGAGAATCCCAGTTTTGCCCACTTACTAATAAAGATCTACTTGACCCCCAATATAGTATACTATCCTAACTCAGTCAAATTACATGAAACTTTGAAAGAAAAAAAAGAGATTAATGAAGCAAAATAGGCAACTGAAATTCAGAGTCCCATACATATATGAATGCAATAAATAATAATCAAAGAACAGTGAGAAAAGAAATGGATAATTCTAAAATGGTGCTGGAATAAACTGTTGGCTATTTATAAAAGTAGTAATAATAAGGTATACCATATTAAAATTCCAAATACATTGTTTAGTGTTTTATTTTAAATTGAAATAATATATTATAAAGTTTAAATTTCTATACATTAAAAAACATAAAACAAAATCAAGACAATGGGGAAAATATTTTCAACAAATAAAGCAACTAGCTAACTTCCTTAATATAAAAAAGCTCAATCAAAAAGAAAACAGGAAGATCCTAAGGGGGGAAAAAAAGACACAAATAGAACTTTCAAAAAAAGAGGAAAACTGAAATGACTAATATGCTTATGAAAAAAAGTTAAAAATTTCCCAACAATAAAAACATACAAATTAGGAGAAATTAGTCTTTTATAACAATCAAGTTAACAATAAAATTGGTAATATTCTAAATATTAAAGAGGCTAAATTGAAGACAAAATTTCATTTATCTTACTGGTAAGAGTTTAAATTCATACCAACTTTCTAATAAGCAATTTTGCTATGTGAATCAAGAGCATTTAGTGTAAATAACCTCTGACACAGTAACTTTCCATTTAGGAATCCACCATAAGAATATACTTTGAAATTTATAAATATATAATAAAAGCCTAATATGCAAATTGTTTGACCAGGAGTTCAACCGCTCACTATGATGTGCACTGACCACCAGGGGGCGGGGCAGAACATGGCGGGCATTGGTGACATGGCACTGGGAGCAGGTGGCAGTGGAGGAGCTGCCATCCTCGATGGGCCCTGATGAGAGTAGGACCATGGTGGGATGGTGGAGCAGGTGAGCGGGCGGCGCCAGGCCAAGGTGGGTGCAAGCAGGGGCCCGGGCACCCCACCAATCACCCCGCAGATGGTGACAGCAGCGGCGGC